CTCCACAGACTGGCACTTCAAATCCCTGGGTTTTATTATTTGGACATGCAGCCCCCACAGAATGCTTTTTTTAACAGTCATTATTCTAGATTTATAGGTGCATTATGGAAATGAAACATCATCAGTGACACCCAAGAAACTATTGTAGAGTCTGTACTTAGCTGAAACAAAAGCTTACTGCCTTACATAATACCATTAGGCTACCATCACTCAACATATAAGATTGACCACATTGTTACATACATTTTTACACTACTTCCTCTCAATATTTCAAATTGAGCACATTGCTACATACATTTTTACACTACTTCCTCTCAGTATTTCAAATTGAGCACATTGCTACATACATAAATTATGTGTAAGAATTAGCAAATTGCTATAATATAATAACATGACTTTCCCTGAATGTTTCAGATTGAGCGTTACAATGCCCTGCTGGACACCATCCGTACGTCGCTGATTGCGCTGGAGAAGGCGATCCAAGGTCTGGTTGTGATGTCATCAGAACTGGAGGACATCTTCCAGTGCATGTTTGACGGCAGGGTGCCGCCCAGCTGGGAAAATGTAAGCTTGGCTCTCAGTTCACAGCTGACAACATGACAGAACTTAAAACTTCATAGAGCTATTTTTTATTGTATTTAATTATTAACAACAGAATAACACCTGTAAGTAATGAGTCTGTCCTAAATATCATGTAGAATGCATATTAGCAGATCAGTAGATTTGAGAGTTTTCAGAATTTCAGTATTGGGAAAATAAGAAAGAAAGAAATTTTAAAAAGATTGGTAATTCATCGCCAATTTTATCATATTTGATTAGAAGACTGGTGAGAAATTTGACTTTGGAAGATTCCATTGAGGTAATGTGACATGAGTTTCTTGCATAGAATACATGATTCATCAGAGTTCCTCACTGACGGAGTTGTGTATTTCCAGGCGTATCCATCCATGAAACTGCTGGGCTCGTGGACACGTGATCTCATGCAGCGCGTGGAACAGTTTGAGAAGTGGGCGACGACGGCGCATCCTCCAGTGATATTCTGGATGTCTGGGTTCACCTTCCCCACTGGGTTCCTTACTGCAGTGCTGCAGACATCTGCTAGATATCACAATGTAAGAGAGATCCTCTCTCTCTCTCTCTCTCTCTCTCTCTCAAAGGCTTGGTGTTGTCTAGACATGTTAAATAAGCCACAGAACTTCTGGGACTATCAGAAAAAATAAAAATTGAACAGTTCAGTAGAAAGAAAAAAAAAGATTCTGTCCATACATGTCACTCTGTCCATTATTTTTCTGACAATTCAAGTGATTCACTCCAACATTGCAGTTATTCTAATCCACACAAAGTCGTACTAATATTCTCAATCAACCCCACATCCCAGTACTAATGTCCACTGTGTCATACATTATTCCAGGTGTCTGTAGACTCTCTGTCCTGGGAGTTCACTGTGATGACAGTAGATGACTCCAATATAACAGGTGCTCCCAAGGACGGAGTGTTAATCCGGGGGCTGTTCCTGCAGGGGGCTGGTTGGGACAAGAAGAATGCCTGTCTCATTGAGGCAGAACCTATGCAGCTGGTTTGTCCTATACCCACCATACACTTCAAACCTGTGGAGAACAAGAAGAAGAGTGGGAAAGGTATTTATACCACCAGAGGAGGCTGTTTTTTTTTTTTTTAATTAAAGTACTGGTTTATTAATTTTAATTTTGATCCTGTGTATTTATTTATTTATTTATTTATTTATTTATTTATTTATTTATTTATTATTGTAAAAGAAGAGATACATGATATAGGGTCTTGATTGCAAACTAGTAAAAATTATTACAACAATAAATTGTTTCAACAATAAAAAAAGTGAAGTCATTATATAAGATGTTGTCTGCTTGTCAGTTTAATTAAAGTCAAATTAAAGGCTCAGTATGTCTGCAGTTTTTCTGCTATGACAATTGTTGGAGAAGGATGTGTTGTTTGTCACCTGTTGTCATGATATAGTTGTTGATTATCTCACAGTCCCCTTTCTCATGAATCAGTAGTTACTGTAATGACAATGTTAGTGATATGTTATGAGTTCATTAAAATCATATGAGCAACCCACATGTTGTAGTTAACAAAGCTGACATGTGAGTCTGTCTACTCCAGGTCTGTACCAGTGTCCTTGTTACTACTACCCTAACCGCGCTGGCAGGACAGGGAGAGCCAGCTTTGTGGTCGCTGTGGACCTCAAATGTGGCGAGAAATCTTCAGACCACTGGGTGAAGAGAGGCACTGCACTACTCATGAGCCTGGACACATAGACAGACACTAGGGAAGGAGAGGAGGGAGAACAGGGTTCTGGGAATTCACAGAAATTATTGCAGTGACAGTATTCATTGGAAGAGTCAAATTTGTGTTCAGGGGAAAACATGAACTGCAAATTTAAGAAGAAACTTTGCCAAGAACAATTTTTTCCATTAAGAAGATGTATGAACTGAAAAGTGATATTTTTGGATAAAAAGTTTTGGAAAGAAATGATCTAAAAAGACTGGCTTAAACAAACCAGGTTTTTTATTTTATTTTTATTTGTGAACAACTGAATGTTTGTTATATAAGTGCAGTGTTTAGCTAAGGTCAGCTGTCACTTACCATAGCACTTTTAATTTGACAGATCCACTAAAGCATTCCGTGTTTTCACATAATATTGTGAATAATTGATAGTTAAGCATTCATTTTTTCTTTATTTTGAAATGCCACTTTTATTGGGAAATGATGTATGAATTTCTTTTTGTTGATGTCTTATAGGGTGAGGATATTTCTAGTTGTCATTTGAATTGGCTTTACATGTAAATATCCAGCTGCAGTGAGATATCAAAAGTCAGTAGAGAAATTTAGACCTCCGTCCTATTTTCCAACACTAACATTTCTCTCAGGAGCTGTTTTGTATAAGACCCTTTTTCTAGTAGAAATAGTGCCACAAATAATTCCGTCCCTTGAAGTTGTCCATCTAAAAGACTGGAGCACGCTTGCTGCAGTATATAAACATTATTTCTTCTTATTGTTTTGATGTTTTATGATATTTATATTGAAGAAGTTTTCATTTTAAACTGAGAATTAACTGTGATAGTAGAAGTATTAGTTTATGTTGTACATACAAGTGAAAGTTGTAGTGTTTGTTTGTTTTTAACCTTGAATTGTGATTATAAACAATTTAAGAGTCGAATCCGCCCACTCAGTTATTGCCAAATGATGTACATACAGTATGTTTTAAAATAATAGGATTGTGAGGGGTTTTTTCATTCAATCCTCTCTGCATTTAGAATTTTTTGAATAAAAAAAGAAGTTGAATAAAAATATATTTGCACATGTCATCAGCATTCTGTTTCTTGTTTAATTTTGTCTTCTTAACTTAAGTTACACTTGAAAATAAGTATTGTGAAAATAATAAAGGACAACTAACAGTAACTGAAGATCAGTAATATCCATAGCAACAAGGAGTTACCCCTCTTTAACAATATAGTCTAAAGTTTTTTATTTTATTAGTAAATACAAAATCATACATATTAAAATAGGTAAAAAATGTAAATATCTACCCAAATTGCTACTGTATTAGTGAAATGTTTTCTCATGCTTGCACATTTCATTATATGAACATGATTTTACCTGTACACTGTACTCGAGTAAATGAATGAATTCGAATCATACTGATACATAATACTATACATGAAAACCAAAAAGACAAGGAAAATATGCCAAACTGACATTTTAAGATTATGACCTCATTGTGAATAGACTAATAAATAGACAATTTGGACAAAAACGAATCTGGATGGCGATCAGTAATTTCAATATCAAACCTCATAAAACTATTACAGCTTCAGTTTCTAATATTCAAATACTCAATTAACCCTCACACACCTGTCCTGACAGTGTAGATCTACCCCAACTCTAAAACATAATTTATATAGGTGATCTGGAAATAAGCCAATGAATTGTTTAATAAACCTGTCATCTAACTTAAAATTAAGAACAGTAAATGTTAACCCTTTCCGATCCGCCACTTGCTAAATTTCCTGTAAATAATGTCCTGATTTGGCAGTGAGAGGGTTAATATTGTAAACTCAAGTCTTCAGTAATTATACACATTATAATTCATGTTAACATTGTTGGATTGGGACAATACTGTAGAATTAAAATGCTTCAATTAAGAAGGTAAGGATACTGAACCCATTCTTGATACTCTGACCAATATTGTACACTCATGTACAGAATTTCAATTAAATTACAACAATACTACAGAGTGCCAGTGGCTACAAGCACAAATACTGGATTTAGTTTGTATTAAGAATGGAACCATGCTATACCTGGTACCTTACAACATCAGTGTAGACAGGATACATGAAGAAGCTTCCATGAAAAGAAAAAAGCAGGTCCACAGTCTGGAAACAAGACAGTGTTTGCCAATGCTGAACGCAAGTATAAATAAATGCAGTTATCATATGCAACTTAGCACATAAATAAACCTAGTAGCATCACCAATTTGTAACATCATCAACAGATACAAAGAAAGTCGCTTTGCCCAAAATCTTTACCATTATTAATATGATTATCATCTTTATAATATTAATGAACTGTGATTACAAAGGAAATAACAGAGGCTCAGCCTCTACATAAATATCATCAGACATCTTATAAATACAGATCTAAAATGTGAGCTTGCACAGGTATAAGCTAAGACTAGATTACTTAGTGCTGTGAATTATGTGGATGACACTGGATATCATTTGTATGTGGACACTATGTACAAAGTTCTGTGGTCTATATACAATATACAAAAAGATCAATTTGAACTCTTATAAACTCACATATTTCATAAATCACAACTGTAGATTATGTCCTGTGTGATACCCATGATTTATTTAAAATTATTTACATCAGTAACTGTTGGTCTCTGTTTCTAATTTATAAAAATATAAATTCTAAATTGTCCTCTATGAAGGGTGTTTCTAATCCCCCCCCCCCCCCCCCCCCCCCCAAACACCCTTGCTATCCAGGTTAAAAAATACATCAACTAACTACAGGAAGATGTACTGAGTTGAGTTTATTCACCTCCTGCTATCATTGCTTGTCACCTGTATTTTAAAACTATATACAGTGATCCCGCTGCAGCCACCAGTGTGACAACTTCACAGAACACAAGTCCACTGATGTGACCTGTGTGGACCATTACAAACGCATCTACCTTACTTCATTAGCAGACCATTTGAACACCTCTACTCCTTTATTCTAATTGGTTTTGATAGCAAATTAAAATAGGTCAAGTAATCATGTGACTGACACGCTGGTCTTGTTCTGTTCCTGTTTGGCGGCCTCCTGGACGGCCCTGGACCTCCTCAGTTTCTCCGTTCTCTGAGCCTGACTGACCACTGAAAGGGGTGGCTGGAGTTTGTCCAGTTTGGGGGACTTGGGGAACTTCATTAAGTTAGCTACTTTGTCTAACAGAAACCTGAAATATGGAGTAAATAAGTATTACAATTAATATTTAACCCAAAGTGAACATACGTATCAAATCACCTTACTCACATGAGACTGGATCTAGATTAAATTAACTACATTATCAAACCACCATATGTAATATCTGTTTTATAATTGTGGTATAATTAGATTTTACTTCTCAATCTTATATCAACCTATGGACACTTAACCAAAATTTGTCAACAGAAACGTGAATATAATTTTCATATTTTAAAAGTGATTTTTTAAACTGATCAATCAAATATAAAACATAATCAACTTCACAAGATATCTATAACCACTGAAAATCTTCTGTAATCATTCCATATTTTGTGTTGCAAAATTACACTGCTTTTCTGTAAGAAAAGAAAAATAACAGGAAAAAATAGGTACTCACTCGACTTTAGTTTTACATTCACTGAGGAATACTTCATTTTCCTCTATCTCTTTCACCGGAATGTACTCTGGATTTACAAGCTGAAGATCAAAATACAAACTTATTAATATCTACATAAATCAAGATGGTATGAATTAAATATTTAATATATATCTGTTTGTCTAAACATTATCCTTTTTTAAAATCATTAAAAACAGGTGTGATCTTCTTATTACTTAAATTCAAACGGCTATGCACAATATAAGAATATAAAAAATAATTTGTAATTCACTTTTTCTTTTTTTTTAACACATTGACTGCAGAAATATCCCATCAAGCCTTTTCTTAAAAAAAAAAGAACCTGGTATTGTGTTTTTAGTGAAGAGAAGTCCTTCTTTGACTCTCTGGGAGATAAGGTTCTGGGCTATAAAACAAGTGCAGCCATTTCTAGAACTACTTTGTTTTAGCGGACAATATATTACTCCGCAGAGAGTGATTTGGTCCACTACTACAACTTACTTAACAGATGTGGCTCACCTTCAATTTGGCTCCAACATTAAATTTACAACTCTGTTTGTGAGACTGGAACAGTAAGGAGATGTTGTCCTGGTCCAGAAACCGCAAGCTAAGGCAACGGTTCAACGCAAAACAGATGGGCTGGAATGGCGGCGCATGCACATGCGTTGTCACGTCTTTCCAGTTCCACTTTTTCTTCTTAGCACCATTGATGTCCAACTCAATTCCTCCCATCTGATCTAAACACAGTCTGAAATCAAAGGAAGATGCCATACAAATTTAATTTTTGATCCAGAATGTACTCAGTACTCAGGCACACGTCAAAAAAATATATATGAGAGAGAGAGAGAGAGAGATCTCACCTTAGTTTCCCATTGTGGAAGTAGCAGCCAGCGTGCCCATTAGGCTCAAATACGCCCAGCACCTGCGGCTCCTCCGCGGCGTCCTCCAGGATGACATAGGTGAATTTCCCGGGGGTGGTGGAGGATATTCCAATAGCCAAGTTGCCTGATGGATAGCTGAGGAAAGGGTTAAGGGAAATAATGCCCAGGGATACTAAGACAGAAGATATCTTTCCTGTCAAATATTTGAGATATAGTAAAAAGAAAAATAGATGTTTGTATTCAGTAGCCTTCAAAATGCTAACATAATCATAAAGATTTGCTCTTAATGTATATTTTCAGAGTCTAAATATAAAAAAAAAATAAATAAAATAAAAATCTAAAAAAAAAAACAACCTAAATTCAAAATAATAGCCAGTGATAATCAAAGAGAAGATGTCCTTCCCTGTCAACATCTTTTAAGATATTATAATAAAAGGATAAAACGGTGCTTGCTCTAACTATAAATTTTCAAGTTACTGTTAAGATCCAGTTTCTAATTTTCAACAAAGTTGCAAAAATACACCTAGGTAAATGCAAAATAGCTGATCATATCTCTTAATTTAGTTTAAATGTTAATAATAAATTATGGAAATATTTCAATAGTGTTGCAGTAAAAAGGATACTAGACATGTCCCGTACCGTCAGGAAACAGGACCAGGAATATGCTGCCATCTTCATAGTACTTCTCCAGTGTGACGCCCCTCTTTCTCAGCTCCTGGTGGAGATAAAATAAAAAAGATAAACATCTTTTTTTTTTTAATCTTATGACAAAAGTGATCTTGTATCAATTAAATACTGTCAATATTACTGATTTCTTCAATATGAAACTTTTCAAATATAAATGATATTTTGATTACTCTTATGTAAGTAAGTACCAAATATTTCAAATCTGAAAGTTAATTTGTTTATAAATTGTTTTTGAAAATTTATACTTATCTATGTCTGTTTTAAAATGGAACTAGAGGCAAAAAAAGAAAATGCTTTGAACTTTAAATTTACACAAGACTGCAAATCACATGCAAACAAAGAAAGTGACATATATATCATGCAGTCCTAACCCCTCACCAACATCATGTGAATGAAAAGAGAAAACCTACAGGTGCTTCCACTCATATAATATATAAGGAAAATTCTTACTTCAGGTATATTAACACCATTCTTACTTGGTCATTAACATATATTGTAAAATATCAATTTCATTTAATATTTATCTCTTTATCTATATTTATCTATTTATCATCAAGCAGACTCTATTTTTTACCTCCGCCAAGGAGGTTTCGATTTTTCCAGTTTTCAAAAAGTTCTAAAGGGTTTTTGATATTAACTCCAAGATAGGTCAAGACTGGTTAACATAGAACCAAAAGATTTTGGCAGTGGTCCATAAATGAATTGATTGGTTTATTCAACAATAAGAGTTGAACTGTTGTGGTAGTGGTGCCTGTTGAAGTGATTTCATTTGTAGTTTACACATACTATCTTGCCCCACAAGTCATGCCATGTGACACATGTCATGCCTTGACATTGCCCTCAGTTGAGAATACAACTCATGAACATAATAAGAAGGATGTAACACATGCAGTGTGAATGACCAGAAGTTGGAAAACTGGTGATATGATTGTGATATTACAATGAGTCGTCTCCATACCTGTGCTCCTCACGGGGTCGTAGCAATAGTCTGAAGGTTTGTAGGTGCGAATGTTCACTATAGAGCCTTTGGACCAATGAACGCTTGATAAAAAAACTGATGAAAATGTTACCATTTTGGACCAATGAACCTTCAGACTATCAAGACACCCCCATTCCTCTCAATATGACCTAATCAGGAAGAGGCAAACCATTCTGTTATTTCTTAGACCCTTCCCAGAGTGCACTTCATTTAATTCAATGTTAAAATTTCTCTAGAATCTTACAAAGATTTATTAAATACTTGCAATATTTAGGGAGCATTCATAACCAAGCTGATCTGCAGAACATCTAGGATCAAATATGGCACGCACTTGATTCCCACCTCCCACGTACGCCATCATCCCAGCCGGGGAAGAGCAATTAAATCTCGCCAGGTTTTCAAGTGGGTGGCGCCATATTTGATCCACAGACTACTTGGTTTACATATCAACTGGTGCTGGACAGGACCTTAGTTACTAGTACAATGGCAATTAAAATTTTTAAAATAATTCATAAGAGGGGTGTCCTAGTATTAAAATAAGACTGGCCAAAGATGGAACCACCAATCACAAATACCCTGTGTTATTTAATTTGTGTGGATGATGGTGAAAATGTGTTTATTTAGGGTGGAGGAGACATAAAAACAACTAGAACCCCCCCCTCCCCCCCCCCCCTCCCCAAGCTCTTCATCCAAAGATCTCCCCTCAGCACCCTCACCAAGCCCAGTCCCTCATAAAAACCTTATCTGCTGGCCTGGATTGTGTCTATTCTTTCTTTTAAGAAGGGAACCAACCACACACCACCCTATTCAAAGATCTGCCCTCAGCACACTCACCCAGCCTAGTCCCTCCTTAGCATTCATAGTGAAATCCACATCCTCTACACTGAACACATCTGGGTCCTTGGCTTCCTCCCACAGTGGACTGGGGGGCCGCACTGTCCACCCCTCATCCAGGCAGCGCTGACTGGACAACTGGTAGTTGATGGTCTTCATCGCCCTGGCAACTGTAAGTTAACAGATTAACATGTTCAGAAGAGAATAGGGATATAATCTTGTTTATTGCCTGGTATGTATCATGTCTGCACACACACACACAAACACACACACACACACACAAACACACACACACCTTGATTGGCATGTAACCTCCTGTTCTGTTTCTCTTGAAGCATTTTGAACCCCGAACAGAGCAATCATCACGTGAATGTTATCAACACAACTCTGACCAATTCAGGTCCAAACTTTGACCACAATGGTCCATGGTGCATTTTAAATTGCAGTCTAGCCATCCTTTACTTAAAGTTTGCTGATTATGTTAAGTACAGATGTGTGCCCTGTGCTCAGCTACAGAGTTAGACATGGTACTATACATGGTACTGTTACCTAGCATCAGATGATCTTTATACTCTACATAACCACACTCCATTGATTCTTACACTGCCCAATACAATATCATCATTATTTACTATAATAAAAAACCTTATTGTTAACAACAATAGACTTCTCACTATTTATAACAATAAACAACCAATTGTATTATATTTGAATGCTCATAACACTAAATGTAGGATTGTTTATAATGATAAATATGCTATTGTTTGTAACAGTAAATATGCTATTGTTTAAAACAACAAACATATACTTTTGTAACAGTTTACACCAATAAATAAGCTATTGTTAACAACAAAAAACATTCTTTTACTTAACAAATGAAATGTCTCACAGTTAAAGCAGTTCACTATTATGAAAGTTCTCTTGTTCTTTGTTTTAATTACAAACACACTGTTTTTACAACAATAAATATCTTACTGTTGTTACTGCAACACTTGGGTTATTCATACATTGCACAATTATATTGCTTCTGACAAATGACCTATTTCTAACCAAATTTATGGTGTTTTAACAAATAATAATAAAAAAGAACAATTACTTTAATCAAAACAAATGTGTAAAAGAATTTTCTTTGCCACTAAAAGTCAGGAATCAAATAAGGCTATGAACATGAACAATCAACTTACACGTAAAGAAATTGGAGACTCCCCCGCCACCTGCCGCTGCCTGCTGCGCTGCTGCCACCTGTTGGGCTCTGGCAAGTTCACGCTCACGCATCCTTGAGAAGAGAAAACAAATGAACCAATGAACCATCTGTTGCTGCATTGACAAGCAATTAAAGCTTCCAATATTATAGGATTACCAAAAAGGAACACATCTTACATAATTTTTAATGTTAGGTCATAATGCACTCAATAATTAGCTACAACAGAAAATAAAATTTGAGGTACCATTGATTTATCTAACAAAACTGGCCTTGATAGGAAAAATCTGGATCAAGCAATATCACGTCCTTGTTTGTCTACTTGCACTTTTTGTGGAAGATGGCTTAAATGTCTGTGTATATTATTTAGGATTGGGGAGACATAAAGTGCGCAGATACCAAGTTTCAATTTAAAATCTATCTCCAAACAGCCAGGTGTTTTTGTTACAATGTCGTTTATTGCTAGGATAACAGTGAAGACTTGTAAGATGAATAATTTAAAAGAAAATTTCTGATTGTTTTTTTAAAAATGTTTAAAATTTAGAAATGTTTAAGTTAATCTCCTCACTGAGACTTCACGTGTTGCTTTTCATTCTTTAACTAGTGTATTAGTTAAGTGCAATGCTTAAGGAATAAAGTAGCCATTCTGTGATGAAAATGCTCTTGCTAGACATCTAGATATTGGAGGAAAACAACTTCAATATTAGATGCTGACTGAAGAAAAACTACTCTATTCTTAATGTCCCAAATACCTTAAAACAGCTCTCTCCTTGGCTGCTCTTCTGGCTTGTTTGCTGCCAAATGGTCCGTGAGGTTTGATATCAATTTTCTCATCCACCTTGTGTTCTGTTTCCATGGGGTTGAACAAAGCAAAGTGTACAAACTGCCTATACTCTTCACAACAGTATAACTGATCTGGTGGCTTTGACTGCTGCTCCTCCATTGATGGAAAAGGTTTAATTGTCTTTTGACAGAACTCACAGACTCCAGTAAAAATCCCTAGAGGGCGCCCCTTGCTGTCCACACTTTTGCCAATTAAGTCCTTGAATTCATTTTCACGTTCCTCCAAATCCAGGCTGCTGCTTTCACTGTCCTTTTCTGTTTCTCTTTTAAACTGGAGTGTAACAAATAAATCTACATAAATTTCAAGTTTTTTCATCTCAATTTGTCAGTAAACAATAATTATATTTAATGCTGTTTCAAAAATTAATACCCTAATATAAGATAACTAGTATAGTTCATAACCAAAAAAAAAAAAAAAATGCTGTTTACAGTTTCATCTGATTTTTCAGAAAAAAATCAGATTTACAAATGTTTACAACAACATGATTTGTTCTTTATATAAGATTTATTTCAGATCATATAACTGCTAAGAACAAAGGCATTATAACTGTAACAGTTGCAACATTTTAAGTGTCACAACAGTGCTACTGTAATTATAACAACCTTGTTAGTGTCACAAAAATGGTATTGTCACTGTCATAATAACAGCACTATAACAACAAACGTACCTGTACTCTAATTGTAAAAGGACTGATACTACGTCAATAATGGTATCGGCACTGTTGCAACAATGAACAACCAACCACATTTAGAAGATTGACTATATTAGCCATTGTTCATTATTACCTTGAGTATATCAGGTGGTCCTATACTGGGCAGTGTGTCTGCACCCTCATCATAGTCATCATCTTCAGTCTGAAAGATACACATACAATTATACACATACAATTACACACATACAACTATACATATATCAGTCATATCAGAGACATTATCTCTGCTTTACTACTAAGAACTAACAAACTGATGACTAACATAACATGTGCTAAGTAGAGCTCCAATACCGTGCAAATGAGAAACAAAATTATATTTCCTAGTGAAATAAACTAATGCATTTCTTTATCTGGTGTACAACTTATAGGTCATTTGTTGCTGGGTGTTCTTTCTTTTTTATCTTATAACAATTGTAATTTTTTGATGTAATATCTATAAACATGTCCAATTAATAAATACATATTATATAATCTCTCTCTCTCTCTCTCTCTTTCTCTCTCTCTCTCTCCCAGAGTACTCACATCACTGGTGTCCAGCTCCAGGATAGGAATACCATACTCATCGTCCCTGGGAGGGAAAGATTCTGACGGACCAATAGAGGGCACTTTGCTGACCGCGTCATCGTCCACAGACCTGGCCACTGACAGACTCGACTTGGACTTGTCGCCTCGGCTCTTGGCTCTGGCTTCTGGAACAGATGGAAACAGTGAGGCATGAGGGATGTTAGTAGATTCAGGAAGTGTTCAAAGCAAGTGAAAGTAGATCTTCTTCATCCTGTCTGGGATCTTTTTATCTGGGATCTGTTTGTATGTGTGTCATGTGTGTGTGTATCATATGTGTGTGTGTTCATGCCCATGTGTGTGCACATACCCCGGTATTTCTTCACGTCTGTGTATGTGAGTACTCACGTGTGTATGTCTGTCTGCTGGTACCATGTGTAAAGGTGTATACACTGTAAATTATAAGTCTTCCACCTTACCTTGTCCACTGAGTCTTCCTGTGTCCAATCCATCTGCATTGTCGTCCGAGTCTCCTAGCAACCCTGCTTTCTTCATAGTCTCGGTCCAGCTCCACTCCGTCTGGCAGGGAGTGGAGATTACGGTGTGTGTTCTGCCGTCTAACCCAAGTTTGGTGGAGGTTTCGCGTATAGCAGGTGTGCTGCAATAAAAACATTATATAAGAGGGTGTTTTCTAGAAAATTGATTGATGACTTAATGACTTTTGGATTAATAATAATAATAATAATGAAAGAAAATGTACGAAGTAATAAAGAGCATTATTTAACCTAATTAAATATACTATAATGGTATGAGTTACTAATATCAAGTACCTAAACTGACAAAAATATCAGAAAATCATCACAATTCACCCACAAATAAGTTTATCGCTAAATAGAGAAATACTGGACAAAATTCAAGACATGATTTTCAAAATAAGTAGAAGCTACATGTACCACAAATGACCTTCAATGCAAGTGTTATCTTCTTAAAATTCTATCTTTTTATGAATTGCACACCTACTCCATATATGTACATGTATGATTCACATATTATAAAGATTTTCAGGCATGCAACTTACGTGGTTTTCTTCCTTTGTGTGCTGTCATCAGAGTCGTCAGAACCGCTGTCGTAACTCATTTCTCTCCTGAAGGCAATAATCCTGGGTTTGGAGGTTTGCGCAGCAGAACCTTAAATATTTACAATTTACATTCTAACAGTCTGAAAACATTTTAACATGGAGCTGCTTTTTTTATTTACCAAGGAAAATAACCAAATACTTGAGATATTTTCAATTCAAATTACTTCATTATTTTTAATCAGTAATTTAAAACAATCAAATTATACCTCGTTATCATCATTTTATCAACAGTCCACAACTGTTTCACTCTACTTACTGGCTACAATCAAACACTAGAAAATAACATGCAATAATGAAATACAATTACTAGTAAACAAATATCAAGTACCTTGACTGCTGACACTCTCGGCTGGGCTTGTCCTCCCACTTTGTGCACCGCCATCTTTATTCTCTTTGCCAATAGGTGGCAGTGGTTTCACCTGCGGCATATTCCTCACAATCTCCTCTTCTGGAAGATCAGCGATTCTGCTAGCACTGCGGCTACCCTGGGGGGTATTCTTCCCTGACCGACTAGCTGGTCGAATGTCAATGTTCTCAAGAGGAGTGTTCTTCCCTGAACGACTGGCTGGTCGAATGTCAATGCTCTCAAGGGGTGTGTTTTTTCCACTTCGTAGTGGCCCAAGACCTGAGGAGACAGAGCCTGTTCTGCTTCCTGCTCTCTCTCTTTCCTCCATTGTGTTCAGTTTGTTTTATCAGCTCTCTGTAGAAAATTGGAAGAAAAAATATATAATTTTTTTAAATCAACAGTGTTTAACATAATATTATACCAGTAAACTGGTCTACCTACTAGTATTGACACTACTACTATTACTGTTATTACTACTATATGTACTACTACTACATGTACTTCTTTAGACCAGTGCATATTAACAGGACTCAACTGTGGAGCCACTGGAGGCTTCCTGAACATGTGCCTAAACTCGTTTAAACAACATTAGGGAACATAGGCAATACACTCTGCTTCAACGTTCAGCAACATACTTTGTAAACACATTTCCAATCCCAGTACCAAAAACCTACCTCAGTTGTTTAACTAGCCCAGGTGTTCCATGTTAAACAGAAACGTGACAGCACTTCCAGCGGATTGTTTGAGGTGGTGATGGAGACTGCCACGTGACCAAACAATGGCTGCGATTGGCTCAGCCGCACGATTTGCGGTAGCGCTAATATTGTGACGTCATATTATTAATTAATCATCGCATTACAATATACTGGAACTTGTTGTTATGATAAGAAATCACTTTTTGTTTGGACTTCGTTATGCTTGTGATTTCACAGCAAAAAGATACAGAGAAAACTTATCTTAATTTAGGACGTCATTAAGTACCCATTTATGGTAAAACGTTGGACGAAGTTGGTCAACAATGAATCCTTTAAGGTAAATATTAAGAGACTTGATGGTAGCGATGGTGTCATTAAAACCTCTAATTTATCCTTATTGTATCGGCACATTTACTGAATCGTATTGAAGACTTGCATTCCTCTTCATTGCATTCAATATCTGTATCTTTTCGCCTCTCTCTCTCTCTCTCTCTGCCCCCCCCTCCCCTCCCCCGTCGCAATTCTTCATTAAGCCTGCAGATTTTAATCTCACTTTCGTTATATATAAAAGAAGGCCTGCTTAGTATACTCTTCTATTTTAGATCTTAAAAATTGGGTTGAAAACATACACTGTGTGTAAAGTACTGAGTAATGGCAAAGCATCCGTTTTATCCCATTATATTCAGATCTACTGTAGGTTGTCTGACTGCATATGGATAATCATATAAATGTACTCTCCAAACTTCGAGGTATACTGAAACAATTTGGACGTTTTTAAGTAAATATATCCAATAATCCAATTTAGCTTGGGGGAAAACTGGCTATCCCTGTGACCAGTACACTTAGGTGTAAAGTGTAACGTACATGCCTTAGTGATTTTTCAAGTATTAAAGAATTGTATAAAACTTCCCTTTCTCTGTTTAGCAACAATGATCATTTCTCTGTTTAGCAATGTGGAGGGGACTAAGAAGATCAACCAGAGAGAACTGGAGCTGGGTCTGGTGGGAACCAAGAACTCCTGGCACAGCAAGTATAAAGACAGTGCCTGGGTCTTCATAGGAGGACTACCTTATGATCTGACGGAAGGAGACGTAATTTGTGTGTTCTCCCAGTGAGTGTTTTACCTTCATATCAACCACTCTACTACTGCTTTGGCCTGAATAACACAAGAGTTTTCTTGGGCATGACCTACATTCAAGTGCAGTCCTATCCATAATTGTTGTTTTAGGCATTATTTTAAATATAAAGCTAATTTTGTGGACTGTTTTAATATTTTTATATTGTAGGTAATTTGCTATAATATTTAAGGCCAAAAGCTTTTTCAGTGGAGTATAAAATTGATTCAAATGTATAAACACTGGTTTATAGTGTGATTAACTACCACATAAAGAAGAAGGTCATTTATAAAATAATACTTTTTTTCAGTCCTTGAATTGAGAAACCTTTGTATGTTTAAATCTTGTCTTATTTGAAGCACAAATCATGTAAAATGTTCACTACCTCCACTGCGCCTATTGTGTATAATACAAATAACAATGAAGCAATTTTTTTGGTTTTGGAGGACATTTTTATCACAGATATATTGCATGATAAGCTAGGAATTGATTAAATGGCTGTATGATCTTTTTTAAGCATAAACTTGACATATGCCTGTAAGGTATTCTTCAGATTCAGTTGCAGGATTCACCCATGTGATAAAACTGAAACACAGCAGAATCTGAAGTTCACCTTAGTTTATAAGTTAATCTCAGGGTTTTTTACTCCAAAGAGATCATATAACTTACTTGATGAACTGACAGTTAAATACTAGTACAGAAGTATTCATAGTTTTACCACCAGTTATGAATTCATGGTTTCAGGTACGGGGAGGTGGTAAACATCAACATGGTCAGGGACAAAGGGACGGGGAAATCCAAAGGTTTCTGCTTTTTATGTTATGAAGATCAGCGCAGCACTATACTGGCTGTAGACAACCTGAACGGAGCTAAGGTACGGAACAAACAGGAACTGGCCTTCAACCTACCCACGACCATGGTCACAGATAATTAGGCGCACTTTTCTCTGACAGTGCAGAAAAGTACCATTATTTATCTAGATATGTATCTGTGAATATCTAGTGAAAAATCAATCTTTGGCCTTGGTAGAGGGTACTTACAGCCAACAATTTCAAAACAAGGTCATTTTCTAGAGAAGTTTTCCTTTATACCTCTCAGTTGATCCTACTTGAGAAATTGCATAGATTCTACGTTAAATTTTGTTTTGGAGTAGATATTTTCTTGTTGTTAGTGCAGTTCTTGCTAATGGACCCCTGCCTGCAGATGAATGGTTTTAAAACTTTTTTTATCACCTGAGTATTGCCTGCAGGTCTCTCGTTCAGGTGTATACTTTGCTATTATCATTTTTTACACATTTTTATACATTTTCCTGCTGGTGATCTGCATAAAGACGAAAAGTCTTTCCAAAAAAAAAAAACAAAAAAAACACCAAACTTCTTACTGATGTGTCAGTAAGAATTGACGTTAGTAATGCCAAAAGTAACAGGTAGATTTTGTCTTTTTATTCACTCAATTAGTTTATGTATTTGTTTGTTTGTTTACCTGTTGACTACAGCTGCTGGGGAGAACGTTGCGGGTGGATCACGTACTGAATTACAAACCACCAAAAGAAGACGATGACATTGATGATGTTACAAAGGCGCTACGTGAGGAAGGTTGTGCTCCAAAAGTTCAAAGTTCAAGTGATGAAGAAGAGGAGGAACTCCAGTTGACAGTGAAAAGGAAAAAAGGTGATGTAGTTAGCCACCAACAGTGGTGTATTTGTTTATGTACGTTCTCATATGATAATGCTGGGGTAGTGCTAACACTCGCCAATTTAGCCAAATGCTAAAATTGACTTAAATTGGCTAAAGAAAAAAATGCTTGATTTGGCTAATTTTAGTCAAATTATAACAATTTGGATAACAAATTGACAAAAAAGTGGTGATTTGGCTAAGCGAAAAAAATTCCTGGCGCTACCCCAGTAATGGGAATTAATTCTACTTTACCTAGCGAAAGGTCTCAAGTTGAGACTGCAATACCAGTCATTTGCTTTATGTAAGTTCCAGTTTCAGAATTATTCATATTTGTCATTCTTATTCTACTGGCTGACTGACAACATTCACCCATTTACTATCTCATATCTTATGAAATCATTGTGGTTTGTGTACCTGTCATCTTTTGTATATTTGGTTGTATACTTTTTTCATCTTTTAAAATATAGTGTCAAGTTCTCGTGGTATGTAAACTGTGTCCTCAGAGTGAAGTCTGTTTGGTTTTTATGAGTTTTTAAGGCGATTTGATTAACAGGTGTCAAAGAAATGGAAAGATTGTTGCAGTTGTTGCAAATCATTTTTATCATTTACTCATAGCCAGTGACTTAATAACAACCTTGTACTTTTTGCAGATGATTCAGAAAAGAAGAAGAAAAAGAAAAAAGAAAAGAAAAAGAAGAAAGAGAAGAAGACAAAGAAAATGAAGACGTCTGACTCAGAGTCTGTCAGCTCCTCGGAAAAAGATGATTCAGACAAGCAAATTAAAAGACCAATCAAAATCAAGGAAGAGAAAATCGATTTGGGTTACGCTAAATATGCCAGTCAACACAAAGTGGAGCAAGAGGAACGCGATGCACAGAGAGCTGTAAAGCGAGAGTCAGAGGGAAAATGGACGGATCATAATAGCAGCTCTAAGAGGGCTAGGTCAGGTGAAGACATGGCTAGAGACAGCCAAAGAGACGCACGTATCAGTAATGGCAGATCAGATAGGTATAGAGATGTTCAAGATAGGAAAGTTGACAGGGACCATTATAGTGCTGAAAGAACGAGTCACAGAGGCCGAGACCACGGCACTCGGAGATCTAGTTCTAGAGACAGGGATTACCCACGTGACAGGACGTCGGGGTATCATCCAAGAAGATCCAGTTCCAGGGAAAGAGGGAATTCACGAGATCGTAACGAACGCAAAAGAGACAAAGAGTCTCAGTACAGAAAAAGAAAGTCTCGGTCTCGAGATAGGAGCGTGTCCCGTGAACGTTATGATAGAGGCAAACACTCTAAAGATAATAGGGATAAAGAACGGGATAGGTCACGTGACCGTGATAGCAGACGATAGATCTAAGGAATTGCGCACGGTTTTTAGACAGACACAATATATTTGTCATGTAATTAATAAAGAAGTGTTTGAAAACTATAATTATTTTCTTCGAGCAAAATAAATATAAAACAAAGCATTCACACTTGGTCTTGTTAGATAATCCTGATTTAACAGACGAGGAAACATAAGTTGAATAATTTACGTGTGCTGTAACACGCAATACAATTTCTTTAATTTGAAAGACCTGACATCAAAAGTTATCTGAAGTGCTGTATAGAACTATAATTAAAATTCTTTTCACTACCAAGGTAACTTATCCCTGTCTGAAGTCATTCATGTGAAAAAAACGTTGGATGTCGTTGAATGCGTCTTTTTAACTGTTTGGTGAAGTTATTTCTCGTTTATTTTTCTCTGTTGGATAAAACAAAAGTTTAATTGTACAGAAAGGCCGTGGAAGCTTCAAAATATTTTTTTCTTTTTTTAATGAGAAATTTATCCTTCAGCGTATCGCCCTAGACCGTGAACAACTATCATTCCCGACTGCCGCCCTGCATCTGAACTGTATGTGGCGTATAGGACCCCCGAGCCCCCTTTCGATTTCTGAAAAAAATATCACCCTAATGGGATCCCCTCTTGAAATTAGAACTTCACACCAACCTCACACCAATTGGGGGTGGGGGGGGGGGGGGGGGGT